TTGCAATGCTTGAGCCCTTGTTGCAGCCACTGTGTCAATCTATCTCATTGAGTGCCTTCCCCTTTTTCACTGATCCTCCACTTTCCACATCATGATATCCTTTTCCAGGAACTGGTGTCTTGTACCAAAGTATGAAAGATGAAGTCTGGCCATTCTCACTTCTAAAGAACATTCTGGCTATACTTTCTCCAAGATAAATTTATTCATTCTTCTAGCAGTCCATGGTACCTTCAATATTCTTTGCCAACATCACAATTAAATTGCATCAATTATTCTGCGGTCCTTCTTATTCACTGTCCAGCTCTCTTACACATACGAAACTACTGAAAATAGCATGGATTTGGTCAGGCACACTTTACTCTTCAAAGTGACATCTTTGCTCTTTAACACTTTAAAGAGGTCCTTTGCAGCATATTTGCCCAATGCAATACGTCATATGATTTCTTGACTGCTGCTTCCATGGACATTGACTGTGATTGTGTTAGACTGAGTTCTCTAGAGAAGCAAAACCAGCAAAGCTTATATAGAGAGAGAGAAAGAGAAATTTATCTTAGGAAAATGGCTCACACACTTATAGAAGCTGGCAAGTCCCAAGTTCTTGGATCAAACGTCAAGCTGGAGGCTTTTCCCAACTCATACAGCTGCAGGGGCTGATGAACTCAAGGCTGGCAGGCAGTATACTGGCTGTTGACTCCAACGAATGACGAATCCAAGATCTCCAGGCCGAATGGTGGATTGTTCGCTCACGGACAGTGGTAGGCAGCACAACAGGATCCCAATCCACAGAAAAGTGTCTCTTTTCCCAGGATGTCCATAAATATACTGGAAGCAGGCCACTCCACTAGGGAAACTCCCTTTCAATGGACTGACTGCTCAAAACATATACATCTGACCCCATCATGGGAACAACCCACACCAGAACTGCTTAAACTACACAGAATTGTGGTCCAGCCAAGTTGACACACAGTTCCAACTATCACAGTGATCCTAAGTAAAATGAAATCTTTGACAACATTAATCTTTTCTCCCATTTATCAAGATACTGTTTATTGGTTCAGTTGTGGGGATTTTTGTTTTCTTTATGTTGAGGTGCAATTCATACTGAAGGCTGTAGTCTTTAATCTTAATCAGTAAATGCTTCAAGTCTTCTTCATTTTCATCAAGCAAAGTTGTGTCATTGGCATTTTGCAGGTTGTTCATGATTCTTCATTCGATCCTGATGCCATGATTTTCTTCATATAACCCAGCTGCTCTAATTATTTGCTCAGCATACAGATTGAATAAGTATGGTGAAAGGATACAACCCTGATGTACACTTTTCTTGATTTTAAACCATGTATTAACACCCATGGAAGCAGCAGTCAGGAAATCAGAATTGCACTGGGAAAATCTGCTGCAAAAGACCTCTATGAAGTGTTCAGATGTCACTTTGAAGATTAAAGTGTGGCATGGTATTTTCAATCACTTCATATGCATGTGGAAGATGGACAATGAATAAGGAAGACCAAGGAAGAGTTGATGCCTTTGAACAGTGGTGTTTGCAAAGAATATGGAAAATATCCTGGACTGCCCAAAGAACAAACAAATCTGTCCTGGAAGAAGTACAGCTGGAGTGCTCCATGAAAGCAAAAATAGCCAGACTTCATCTCGCCTACTTTGGTCATATTGTCAGAAGGGACCATTCCGTGGAGAACGATATCATGCTAGGTAAAGTGGAGGGTCAGCCAAAAAGGGGAAGGCCCCCAACAAGATGCGTTGAAACAGTGGCTGCAACAATGGGCTCAGGTGTAGCAAGGATTGTGAGGCTGGAGCAGGACCAGGCAGTATTTCATTCTGTTGTACATGTGGTCACTATGAGTCGGAATCAACTCAATGGCACCTAAAAACAAGAACAATATTCTCTTGTTCTGTTTGAATGACTGCCTCTTAGTCTATATAAAGGTTCCTCATGAGCACAATTAAGTATTCTGGAATCCCATTCTTTGCAATGTTGTCCATAATTATGGATATGATTCACATAGTCAAATGCCTTTCTGTAGTCGATAAAACACAGGTAAATATCTTTCCAGTGTTCTTTTCTTTCAGTCAAAATCCATGTAGCATCAGCAATGATATCCCTCATTCTATGTCCTCTTCTGAATATGGCTTGAATTTCTGGTAGTTCCCTGTGATAGTTAAGGTTGTGTGTCAACTTGGCTGGGCCTGGTTGACTGGTTGGGCAGCTGGTGGTAGTTATCCCCCATGATGAGTCTGGCAATCAGCTCCACGGTGGGATCTACCACAAGCAGCTGAGTAGCTGCTGTAGGGATGTGATCTGTTTCCTGTATATAAGCAGCAGCTTTGGGAATGGTCTATAGCATTTTGGCGCACTTGACCCTGCATGTAGCTGAGTCTTCATTCAGTAGCCTGCCATGCTCTACTGATCTTGTTACTTTCAGTGGACTTGAATTAACGGCCTGCCATGTGGTTTCTACTTCAATAGTGATACTGCCTCGGAAACCCAAGAAGCAGACACCATGAGTCGGATCCGACTTGACTGCAGTGAGTTTGGTTTTTGGTTTTTTGGTGTGGTTTGGTAATATTGAGACTGTGCCTTTTTACTTGTTGACCTTGCAGGCATCAGCTAGCTGCCTGAGTGAAGAAAGCCTCCAGCTTCAGTGGGCCAGGAACCAGAGGCAGAGCTGAAGCCAAGGTCAAGGGGTTTTCACACAGCCCCTACAGCCCGGCACTCCAAAACTGTAAGAGAATAAACTCCTGTTTGTTAAAGCCATCTCATTTGTGGTATATTCTTGTCAGAGTGGCACTAGGTAACCAAAACATTCCCTATCAATGTACTGCTACAATAGATTTTGAATTAACTTTAGCAAAATTTTACTTGCATGTGATATTAATGAGATCGTTTGATAATTTCCACCTTCTGTTGGATCACATTTCTTTGGAATGGGCACAAATATGGATCTCTTCCAGTCTGTTGGCCAGGTAGCTATCTTCCAAATTTCTTGGTGTAAACAAGTGAGTGCCTCTAGTGCTGCATCCATTTGTTGAAACATCTCAGTGGGTATTCCAACAATTCCTGGAACCTTATTTTTTGCAAATTCCTTCAGTGCCCCTTGGTCTTCCTTCAATATCATTGGTTCTTGATCATACGCTACCTCCTGAAGTGGATGAACATCAACCAGTTCCTGTAGGTACAGTGTATTCCTTTCATCTCCTTTTGATGCTCCTGCATTGTTCAGTATTTTACCTGTAGAATCCATCAACATAGCAACTCGAGGCTTGAATTTTTTCTCCAAATTTTTAAGCTTCAAAAATGTGGAGTGTGTTCTTCCTTTTTGATTTTCCATCTCTAGGTCTTTGCACATTTCATCGTAATACTTTACTTTGTCTTCTCGAGGTGTCCTTTGAAATCTTCTGTTCAGTTCTTTTATTTCAGCATTTCTTCCATTTGCTTTACCTACTTTACATTGAAGAGCAAGTTTGAGTTTCTTCTGACATTCATTTTGGTCTTTTCTTCATTTTCTATCTTTCTAATGATCATTTACTCTCTTCATGTACAATGTTCTTGATGTGATCCTACAACTCATTTGTCTTCCATCATTGGTGTTCAATGCATGAAATCTATTCTTCAGATGGTCTCTAAATTCAGGTGGGATATCATCAAGGTAATATTTTGGCTCTCATGGACTTGTTTCAATTGTCTTCAGCTTCAACTTGAACTTGCATATGAGCAATTAATAGTCTGTTCCACAGTCTGCTCCTGGCCTTATTTTGGCTGAAGATACTGAGCTTCTACATCACCTCTTTCCACAAATGTAGTTGATCTGATTCCTGTGTATTCCATCTGGTGAAGTCCACCTGTATAAGCACCATTTATGTTGTTAACAAAAGGTATTTGCAATGAATAAGTCATTGATCTTGCAAAATTCTATCATGCAATCTGTAGCACCATTTCTATCCTCAAGACCGTATTTTCCAACTACCCAGTGATTCTTCTTTGTTGCCAGCTTTCACATTCCAATCACCAATAATTATCTTGATGGCATGATTGGTCAATTTCAGACTGCAGAAGTTGGTAAAAGTCTTAATTTCTTCACCTTTGACTTTAGTGGTTTGTGCATAAATTTGAATAATAGTAGTAGTAACTGACCTTCCTTTTAGGTATATGGATATTATGCTATCACTGAGAGCATTGAACTTCAGGATAGATCTTGAAATATTCTTTTTGATGATAAATGCAGCACCATTCCTCTTCAAATTGTCATTGTCGGCATAACAGATCATATGATTGTCTGATTCAAAATGGCTAATATCAGTCCATTTCAGCTCACTAATGCCTAGGATATTGACTTTATGCGTTCCACATCATTTTTGACAACTTCCAATTTTCCTAGATTCATACTCTGTATAGTCCACATTCTTATTATTAATGGATGTTTGCAGCTGTTTCTTCCCATTTTGAGTCATACCCCATGAGCAAATGGAGGTCCTGAAAGCTTTACTCCATCATTAAGGTCGACTCTACTTTGAGGCAACAGCTCTTCCCAAGTCTTATTTTGAGTGCCTTCCAACCTGAGGAGTTCATCTTCCTACACTGTATATTAGACAGTGTTTCCCTACTATCTATAAGGTTTTCAGTGGCCATTTTTTTTTTCCAGAAGTGGACCTGGCCATGTCCTTCTCCCTATTCTCTCTTAGTCCAGAAGCTCTGCTGAAACCTGTCCACCATGGGTAGCCCTGCTGATACTTGAAATACCAGTGACATAGCTTTCATCATCACAGCAACACGCAAACCACCATAGCTATGACAAGCTGACAGATGAGTGGTAGATATTACTAGTTAAGATGGGGCAATTTCAGGGTCTGATCTTGTCTATATATGCCTCAATTGATCTGGTGTGAATAGCTTGAATTTTCTTCTAATCAGTAAGACCAACCTTGATAGGAGATGAATGAGTTAAGGTGAGCTAGTTACGTGACACAGCTCTCTGTTAGCTGGTTACCTGAGAAGATATGGAAGGGCAGGGTGATGCTGGTGCAGTGTCAGTGTTCATAAAGAAGAGATTCAGGCTGAGGTAATGTTCATGGCTGCAGAGGACCCTCAGGAATCCCAGCCGCATAGAAATGAGCGTTGGAAGGTTACTGAGCTTGGCTGATAGCTGGGAAGACAAATGAGAAGAGTAAAAAAGCAAGTGTTAGCATGTGAATGGAGCTGTGGTTGAAAGACACAAAAATTCATGCTCTCTCCAGAGGAAGGCAGTCCATTTAACAAAAAGCATTGGGACAGTGCAACAAATGGTCAATAGCACTACAGGGAAGACTGGCAAGTTCCATCCATTACTGTTCCCTTGATTCTTCTAGCCTCACAGCTGTCTAAAATGAGGCATCCCACCTGACCCCTCCTGTCACCAAATCTACAATGCCATGATGAACCCATGTCCAAAGTGAACTTGGGGGTACATCTTCAGTATAACATAATGTGGGGTGAAGGACCTAGCTTTACCCTAAGTAAGATGGTTTTAGGAGCCCTGTGGTGCAGTAGTTAAATGCTTGGCTACTAACTGTAAGGTTGGCAGTTCAAACCCACCAGCCTCTCCATGGGAGAAAGATGAGGCAATCTGTTTCTGTAAAGATTTACAGCTTTGAAAACCCTATGGGGCAGTTCTACCCTGTCTTATAGGATCGCTGTGAGTTGGAATTGACTTGATAGCACATCATGGTGATGAGCATCACAACAGAGAAAAAGGAACACAATGGTGCCCCTGGAGGTACACCCACCTGATTGCAGTAATGCTTGACAAGGTTAAACACAAAGCCACGATCCATGAGGGAAAGGAGGTCGTACAAGAAGAAGGCCAGGCTGATATTGATCTTTTCTGCCTGTTCATTTTCCTTAAAAACAAGCAGACAGACAGATACACCCAAATCATTTTGTGTAACACCCAAGACATGGCCTCCCTGGTCCCTTGTGGGCAAGGCAGGAGAGGCAGGTCCTATTATTTCAGCCCCTGTTCCTCTGGGTGATGCTGGGCAAAGCAGGTGACCTTTCTAACCATTGTCCCTATGGGTGACACTAGGCAAAGCAGGTGACCTTTCTAACCATCAGGTCTTCCCTTCTGCAGAATGTTAGCAAATAGAATGTAGCCCTTGTTAGCATGGGGTTGGCCTCTGACTCACAGAGGAAGGAAACCCTGACCTGTCCTGCGCAATCCCCATGTTCAGTTGTGGATCAGACCATTGTGATCTGCAGGACTGTCACCGGCTGATTTTTGTAAGTAGATCACCAGGCCTGTATTCCTAGTCCATCTTAGCCTGGGAGCTCTGCTGAAACCTGCTCAGCATCATAGCAACACAGCAGCCTCCACTGGCTGATGGGTGGGAGCTACACATGGGGTGCACTGGACAGGAATCACACCCAGGTCTGCTCCACAGAAGGTGAGAATTCTACCACTGAGTTCCCACTGCCCCCAACATGCATGGGGTTGAATCAGATAATCCCTTACCTACTGTTAATATTTAGGTGCATTCCTTCAGGTTGTTTTTCTTTTACTACAGGCACATTTCTATGTATATAGCCTGTCTCATTGTGTATATACAGTGTTAGGTCCTGTATTTTTTTCATTCACCATTATATTGTGAACGTGTTGTTGTTGTTGTTATGTGCCATTGAGTCGGACCCGACTCATAGTGACCCCTCCTTGGGTTTCCGAGGCAGTATCACTACGGAAGTAGAATGCCCCATCTTCCTTCCAAGGAGTGGCTTGTAGGTTTGAACCGTCAGCCTTCCAGTTAGCAGTCAAGTGCCTTAGGCACTATGCTACCAGAGCTCCCATATTGTGAACATATTCCTGCATTATTAAAATATCTTCTAAACCAGTGTTTCATGGCTGCCTAATACTTTGTCCTGTGGCTTTACCATAATTTATTTCATTCTGGTAACTAGTGTTTTTGCAAAACTCGCTTGAAATGGATGCACCTTACTTGAAATGGATGTACCATCTTCAGTGAGCTAGATTCTTCATTTATAAGGATTGTTGCTGAAAATCCCATCAAGATAAGAGAGGCAGTTTTTACCTAAATATTTTTTTCCAAGTGGGCATCATTCCCAGTGCAAAAGAGGTCAGAGTCGTTCATGTACAGTGAACTCTTGCTTGAATCAGCCCGGGGTTTTTTTTTTTTTTTAACTCCTTCAGTGCTCATATTTAAGAGGGATTGTGTGCACTTCAGAGCAACTGGGGATTCGCTTTTCATGTTTATGTCCCTTATTCTAGAATGACAAATCAGTTTCCTCCGACACTACTGAAAATATAACTTGACAATATTTTCATCTTCATGCACAGTTTGCAAATTCAGGCCAAGCTGACCAGCCACGGGGAGGGGTGGAGGCCTTGGGGAAAGGCTTCTGTGGCCCCAATGGGGGACAAGTCCTCCACACTCAGCATCAGCTATGTGGGCCACTTCACCTGGGTCATCTCCATAATTGGCTGAAAATTCTGGGCTTGGGATCTCCAATTCTGGCTTTGCTGCTGGCTTTGGCTGCTGGCTGTGGGGAGAAAATGTACTGACCTCACTGTGCCTCATTTTTCATGCCTACAGAAATGCAGATACCATCCCTGTTGTGACTGAAACTTTGCCGGGAGAGAGAACCAAACGGAGATCATCTCCCAAGCACTTGGTACCGTACGTGGTTGTCATTAGCTGCCATGGAGTCAGTCCCTGACTCATGGTGACCTCATGCACAATGGAATGAAATGGTGCCTGGCTCTGTGCTACCCCTTGATTGGTTTGGGATTGGGCTGTTGTGATCCATAAGGGTTTTATTGGCTGATGTTTGGAAGATCATCAGGCCTTTCTTCCTAGTCTATCTTAGTCTAGAAGCTCCACTGAAACCTGTTCAGCATCACAGGAACACACAAGCCTCCACTGACAAACAGGTGAGGGCTGAGTGTGAGGTGCACTGGCTGGGAATCAAACCCAGGTCTCCCACATGGAAGGTGAGAATTCTACCACTGAACCACTAATGTCCACGCTGTATGAATTCTTAATAAGGATAAAAGTATTAATAATAAACACTGCTGTCTAAAATTTTAGTTTTAACTTTTAAAACATTTTTCTGTTTCATTTCATATATTTTTTAACTTTTTATTTTGAAACAATTTCAAACTCACAGAAAATAATGCAAGAATAGTACAAAAAACTCCTATATACCTTTTAACCAGATTCATTGGTACTTGACACCTTGCTACATTTGGAGTCCTAGGGGGTACAAAGGGCCTCAGCTGTTAACCAAAAGGTTGGACGTTGGGATCCACCCAGAGGTACGTTGGAAGAAAGGCCTAGTGATCTACTTCTCAAAAATCAGCCACTGAAGACCCTGTGGGACACAGTTCTGCTCTGACACGCATGGGGCCGCCATGAGTCAGAGTCAACTCAATGGCAACTATACCAGAGTGCCCATCCATGTATTGCGTATACATACACACACACATACACACACACAGGAATTACATTTTTTCTGAATCATTTGAAAGCAGATTGCAAATATCATGCCCATTTATCTCTCAGTATTTTAGGGTGTGTTTCCTAAGAATGAGAACATTCTCTCCCACACCTACTTTGGTACAATAATTAAAACTCTAGTCCATACTGTAATTCCTTTGTAGCCCTGCTTCCACACAGGATCCAGTCCAATGATACACACAGCATGTAGATGTCACACAGTTACATTTAATTGCTGTTTTAAACTAATGCTTATTTCTCTCTGATTATGAAAGTAACACGTGCTCAGCTTACACCACTGAGAAGGTAAAGAGTAAAACCTGCAGTTGTTACCTTCTGAGGTTTTACCAGAAGGGCCGCAATCTCTGAGGTGACCACATTCACAATAGTCGTTATGTCATCTTTGAAACGGTCAGAAAAGCGTGTCCTCCGAAAACTGTCCCTTTTGTCTGTGTTGTGTACATACTGGGCCATGCTTTTCACCTGCAGGAAAGGGTGGGGAATGTCAACATGAAAACTGGTGAACCACTTGTATGATGTGGACGATGGCACAGACTTAAGGAAAAGCTCATTCCCCAAGGCCTTTCTAACGCGGAGTTGTCCCAGGGGCTGGCCAAACGGGCTCCAGGGTGGAGCATGCTCCTGACACATGGATGGTTACCATGGTGGCCTTGGAAGAAGAGATGGGGAGGCTGTTCTCTCCTTGACCCCAATTCATGGGACTCCTTTCTTGCTGCCAACAAAGCCAGGGAGCCCAATGCATTAACTCCAGTGTCAGCAGATACCCCTTCTCTCTACATCCGGGAAGGCAGACCTCGTCAGCTCCATACCCACCAAGGCTTCCCTATACCGTAGCTCAGAACAGGAGACTGAGGACAGTCTGTTTACGGTACTGTGGCTCATGTGGACTGAAGCCCTTTCTGTCCTTAAAGCTACAGTAAGGAGAAGAAGGGATGCATGTTCCTCCTGTCTTGAGTGCTAAGTTGAGCACCAGTTTTCCAAAGGAAAAAATAATTATACAGTTTGCAACAGAGTTATTTTCTGCTTCTATAAATTTTAGCTCTATTCTGGGTTGGGAATGATTTTGTTGGCTAGCTAGAAAGCTAAAGACTATTTAGAACATTGCTTCTGGGGAAGATTATGTTTTGAGTTCTGTTAGGGGCTGAACTGTGTTCTCCCAAAATATGTATTGGAATCCTAACACATATATCTATGGATATAATATAATATAATGTAATAACCTGCCATAATGAAATCTAATGCTATGTTAATGAGGCCATACCTGAGTAGGGTGATCTTGAACCCAATTACTTCTGAGTTATGAAAAAAGCAGGTTAGACACAGAGAAGCAAGCACACACAGGGGGTGACACAGGTCATGGGAGGATCCTCTCCAAGCCAAGGATCCAAGGAACACTGGGCTGATGACAGGGAAGGAATCAACATGGCTAAGACTGTGATTTAGACTTCTATCCTCCAGAACTGTGGGAAAATAAATTTCTGCTCTTTAAATTCACTCACCTGTGGTATTTCTATTATAGAGCCCAAACCCCATTGCCATTGGGTCGATTCCAACTCACAGCAACTCCACAGGACAGAGTAGAACTGCCCCACAGGGTTTCAAGGGCTGTAAATCTTTATGGAAGCAGACTGCCACATCTTTCCCCTTCAGAGCAACTGGTGGGTTCGAATGGCTGACCTTTCGATTAGTAGCTGAGAGCTGAATCTTTATCACAGGTGACCTTCAGTTGGTTCTAGCTCATAGCGAGTTGGAGAACAGAACTCAGCATAACAGAACAAAATGCTGCCCGGTCTCACACTATCCTCAAGTTGTTGCCATATTTGCAAACACTGTTGCAGCCACTGTGTCGATGAATCTCACTGACGGTCTTCCTCTTTTTTGCTGACTCTCTACCTTACCAAGCATGTTGTCCTTTTCCAGGGACTGGTTATACCTCATAACATGCCTAAAGTATGTGAGAAAAAGTCTTGCCACTCTCACTTCCAAGAAGCTTTCTGGCTGTACTTCTTCCAAGACAGATTTGTTCATTCTTCTGGCAGTCCAGTATATTTAAGATTCTTTGTCAACACCATAATTCAAAGGGATCAATTCTCCTTCAGTCTTCCTTTTTCACTGTCCAACTTTCACATTCATGTAAGGTGACTGAAAATACTATGGCTTGGTCAGGTGTACCCTAGTCCTCAAGGTGACAACTTTGCTTTTTAACACTTTAAGAGTTCCTTTGCAGCAGATTTGTTCAATGCAGTGTCGTTGTTGTTGTTAGGTGTCATCGAGTCAGCTCCGACTCATAGTGACCCTATGTACAACAGAATGAAATACTGTTCCTGCGCCAGTCTCACAGTCCTTGCTATACTTGAGTGCACCATTGCAGCCACTGTGTCAATCCCTCTTTTTGAGGGCCTTCCCCTTCCTCGCTGACTCTCCACTTTACCAAGCATGATATGCTACTCCAGGGAATGGTCCCTTCTGACAATATGACTAATGTAGATGAGACAAAGTGTGGCCATTCTTGCTTCCAAGGAGCATTCTGGCTGCACTTCTTCCAGGACAGATCTGTCAGTTCTTCTGGCAGTCCATGGTATTTTTACAATTCTTCACCAATACCACAATTCAAAAGCATCAACTCTTCTTTAGTCTTCCTTATTCACTGCCCAGCTTTTACATGCCTATGAGGTGAATGGAAACACCACAGCTTGGGTTACCAAAAACCAAACCCACTGCCATTGAGTCATTTCTGACTCATAGTGACCCCTCCTTGGGTTTCCAAGGCAGTATCTCTATGGAAGTAGATTACCCAATCTTTCCTCAGAGCAGTTCAACTGGCAGGTTTGAAGCGCCAGGCTTCTGGTTAGCAGTCAAATGCCTTAGGCACTACACCACCAGAGCTCCCACAGCTTGGGTTAGGTGCACCTTAATGTTCAAAGAGACATCTTTGCTCTTCAGCACTTTAAAGAGATGTGCAGCAGATGTGACCAGTGCAATATGTCGTCTGATTTCTTGATTGTTACTTCCATTTATGTTGATTGTGGAGCCAAGTAATGTGAAATCTTTGACAACTTCCATCTTTTCTCCATTTATTGTGATTTTCATTTTCTTTATGTTGAGGTATAATCCATACTGCAGACTGTAGTCTTTAATCTTCATCAGTAAGTGCTTCAAGTCATCTTCACTTGCTGCAAGCAAGGTTGTGTCATCTGCATATTGCAAGTTGTTAATGATGTAGCATAATAATTGATGTAATCGATACTGATGTAGCATTCCTCTTCATATAGTCCAGGTTCTCGGATACTGATTAAACAAGCATGCAGATTGAACAAGTGTAGGGAAAGGATACAATACTGACACACTCCCTTCCTGATTTTAAACCATGCAGTATGCCCTTGTTCTGTTTGAATGACAGCCTCCTCGTCTATGTACAGGTTCCTTAAGAGGACAATTAAGTGTTCTGGAATTCCCATTACTCTTATTGTTATAATTTGTTATGATCCACACAATTAAATGTTTTTGCATAGTCAATAAAACACAAGTAAACATCTTTCTAGTATTCTCTGCTTTGAGCCAAGATCCATCTGACATCAGCAATGACATCCCTCATTCCACATCCTCTTCTGAATCCAGCTTGCATTTCTGGAAGTTCTCTGTCCGTATACTGTTGCAACCATTTTTGAATTATCTTCAGCAAGATTTTACTTGCATTTGTTATTAATGATTGTGGTAGTTAAGTTTTTGTATCAACTTGGCTAGGCCTGGTTGTGTGGCTGAACAGCTCGATGTAGCATTTCCCATGATGAGACTGGTAATCAACTCCATGGTGGAATCTACTGTGAGCAGCTGAGTAGCTGCCTTTGGGTATGTGGTCTTCTTCCTGTATATAAGGAGAAGCCTTGGGAACAGTCTCTAGCTTATGGCACACTTGAACCCTGCATGTAGCCGTGTTGTTGTTCAGCAACCTGCCATGCTCTGCTGACCTTGGGACTTTCAATGGACTTGAATTAATGGCCTGCCATGTGGTTTGGTAACATCAGGACTGTGTCTTTTTACTTGTCAACCTTGGGCTTGTCAGCCTCAACACCCAGCAGCTGAGTAAAGAAGAGCCTCCAGCTTCAGTAGGCCAGGAGTAGGAAGCAGAACTGAAGCCCAAGGTTGAGGGGCTTTCACCCAGTCCCTAGAGCCTGGCACTTTGAATTCAGACTTAAAGTCTCCAAATTGTAAGAATAAACCCCTGTTTGTTAAGGCCATCCCATTTGTGGTATATTCTTGTCAGAGAGGCACTAGGGTAAGCAGAACATTGATATTGTTAAATAATTTCCACATTCTGTTAGATCACCTTTCTTTGGAATGGATACAAATATGGATCTCTTCCAGTGAGTTGGCTAGGTACCTGTCTTCCAAATTTCTTGGCATAGATGAGTGAGTGTCTCCAGTGCAGTATGTTTGTTGAAACATCTCAATGGGTATTCCATCAATTCCCAGAGCCTTGTTTTTTTGCCAATTCCTTCAGTTTCAACTTCTTCCTTCAATACCACTGGTCCTTGACCATATGCCACCTCCTGAAATAGATGAACATCGACCAATTCTTTTTGGTACAGTAACTCTGTGTATTCTTTCTATCTTCTTTCAATGTTTCCCGCATCATTCAATATTTTGCCCATTGAATTTTTCAATATTGCAACTTGAGGCTTGAATTTTTTCTTGTTTTCAGCTTGAGAACTGCTGAATGTGTTCTTCCCTTTTGGTTTTCTAACTCCATGTCTTTGCATACTTCATTACAATAATGGACTTTGTCTTCTTGAGCAGCTCTTTGAAATATTCTGTTCAGTTTTTTTTATTTTGCCATTTCTTCCATTTGCTTTGTTGTTGTTGTTGATATGTGCCGTCGAGTCGGACCCGACTCATAGCGAGCCCTCCTTGGGTTTCTGAGGCGGTATCACCATGGAGGTAGATTGCCCAAACTTCCTTCCGAGGAGTGGCTGGTGGATTTGAACTGCCGGCCTTCTGGTTAGCAGTCAAGTGCCTTAGGCACTATACTTCCATTTGCTTTAGCTACTCTATATTCAAGAGCAGGTTTCAGAGTCTCTTCTGCCAGTCACTTTTTTTTTTTCTTCCTTTCCTGTCTTTTTAGTGTCCTTTTTCTTTCTTTATGGATGATGTTCTTGATGTCATCCCACAAGTACTCTGGTTTTTGGTCATTGGTGCAATGTGTTAAATCTATTTCTTCAGATAGCCTCTAAATTCAGATGGGATACAATCAAGATCATATTTTGACTTTTGTGGGCTTGTTTTAATAGCCTTCAGTCTCAACTTGAACTTGCATATAAGCACTTGATGCTCTGCTCCACAGTCAGCTCCTGACCTTGTTTTGGCTGAAGATACCGAGCTTCCTTATCACCTTTCCACAGGTGTAGTTGATCTGATTCCTGTGTGTGCTACATGGCAAAGTTCATGTGTATAGCTTCCGTTTCTGTTGTTGAAAAAAGGTATTTTTAATGAATAAGTCACTGGTCTTGCAAAATGCTATCATGCGATCTCCGGCGTCATCTCTATCACCAAGGCTATATTTTTCAACTACAGGTAATTCTTCTTTGTTTCCAACTTTTGCATTCCAATCACCAGTAATAATACATCATGATTGCATGCTTGGTCAGTTTCAGATTGCAGAAGTTGATAAAAATCTTCAATTTCCTCATCTTTGGCTTTGGTGATTGGTGCATAACTTTAAATAATAATGGTATTAACTGGTCTTCCTTGTAGGCATGTGGATATTATCCTATCACTTGCAGCACTGTACTTCAGGGTAGATCTTGAAACATTTTTTGTGTTGATGAATGCCACACCATTCCTCTTCAATTTGTCATTCCAAGTATAGATCAAATGGTTGTCTGATTCAAAATGGACAAAACCAGTTCATTTCAGCTCATTAATACCTAGGATATAATCTTTATGCATTTCATTTCATTTTTTATAACTTCAAATTTTCCTACATTCATACTTCATACATTCCACATTCTGATTATTAATAGACGATTGCAGCTGTTTCTTCCCATTTTGAGTTGTGCCACATCAGCAAATGGAGGCCTCAAAAATGTTACTCCATCCATGTCATTAAGGTTGACTCTACTTTGAGGAGACAGCTTTTTCCCAGTTGTATTTTGAGTGCCTTCTGACCTGATGGGCTCATCTTCTGGCACTATGTTGGACAATGTTTCCAGGCTATTCAGAAAGTTTTCCAGTAATATATAAGACACTGTTTCACTGCTATTCAATGCAATTGTGTTGTTTGATTTGTTGACTGCTATTTCCATAGGCGTTGATTGTTGATCTAAGTAAAATTAAATCCTTAACAACTTCAATCTTTTCTCCATTTATCATGATGTTGCTTATTAGGCCAGTTGTGAGAAGGCTAGGCTTTTCAAACTCAAAGCCTTTTTCAGATTCTCCACCCTCTACCCCCCTCTTAGTTTGCTAGCACTGCTAAAATAGAAATACCTTAAGCAGGTGGCTTTAACAAACAGAATTTATTTTCTCACAGTTCAGGAAGATAAGAGTCCAAATTCAGGGCACCAGCTCTAGGGGAAGGCTTCCTCTCTCTGTTGGCTCTCATGGAAGGTCCTTGTTCCTTGGCTCCTTGGTGATCTTCATGTGGCCTGGCACCTCTCTTCCCCCATCTCTGCTTGCTCTCTTGTTTGTTTAATCTCTTTTATATCTCAAACGACATCGACTTAAGACACACCCTGTGCTCATAGGTCTCATTAACATAATAAAGAAAACCCATTCCCAAATGGGATCCTAACCACAGTTCTAGGGGTTAGGATTTACAGTACATTTTGGGGACATAGTTCCATCCATAGCAGGCAGCAATGAGGGCTTTGAGGGTGGACCTGTCTATTCTCTGCCAACTGATCTCTGCCAGTGCCTCCCATTGGCCAATCCCAACCAGAAGCTAGAGTGCAAGGGGTTTGGTGATGCTGTTTATAGTCAGTTTCTCAGGGCTCCAAGTTAGACAGAGAAGACAAAAGTTACATTCAAGGGGTGGGTGATGGCAAGTGGAAAGTACCCTCACAAGGCAATTGATGTCAGGCAGGCCTGACTCCTCCACACATTTTTCATAAGTATCTGCTTCACTGATGCTCAGAAAGCTCTTTAAAAACCAAAACAGCTTTTCCCCCAAGGAACTTGAAGAGAAAGAAACCACAGCCACCTGGGCTTGTCCAATAATCTGGGCGGTTTCACACCCTTCCATTGTGTTCTTGCCCAAGTGTTAATGAGCTGTCATTTTAGCCTGAAAGCTAGGGAACTGTGTACATTGACAGGAAACCACCAGACATTCAAGTTGAATTTAAAAAAGGGTGTGTCTTATTCCCAGTCCACTGGAAATAATTTTTTTAACTTTATTGTGATAAAATTTATATAACAAGAAATTTGCCATTTTAACCATTTTTAAGTGTACAATTCAGTAACATTAATTACATTTACTACATTGTGCAACCATCACCACTATTTATGAGAGTTTTCCATCACCCCAAACAGAAACTCAGTACCTGCTGAAAAGTTTTAAAGAGGGCGAGGCGGGGGGTATTGACATTATGTGTTTTATCCTGGCTGCCCTATGCAGAATGAACAGGGAGGGGCAAGAATGGATGAAGTTGGGGAAAAAGAAAGCACAAGAGACCAGATGGTGACTTGGCTAAGTGGGAAGTGGTAAAGACAGTGAGAGGTGACAGGCTGGGCTTTAAAGGCAGAATCAGTAAGAGTTGCTGAAAGATAGATGAGGGGTGAGTGGATGTTAGATTCAAGGGATGAGCCCAGGTTTGCAGTAGGAGCAACTCATTGGACAAAGTTAGTTCCTGAACAAGTAAGCTTCCCTGCACCTCTAAACAATGTGCTTTTCATGTTCAACAGAGACCAGATATAAACCAGCAAGAGTCTCACCAGCAGCTCAAAGAAGAACCAGGCGTACTTGAAGACGGTCTCCCTTACCATCCCGGTGCTGACCACCATCTGCAGGGCAAGCTCCTCATGGAAATGCTGAAGGACAAGCACAAAAACCAGTATGTGAGGACAAGTGTGGTAAGTAACCAGCACCCCCTTTCTTCTCACCAGCTGTAATAGCCTGGCGACTCCTGAGTGGTACAGACAGTTAACGTGTTCACTGGTGCAATATGTCAGGAAAACCAGCCATTGAAACCCCTGTAGAACACAATTCTGCTCTGACACACAAAGGGCATGATGAGTCAGAGTCAACTGATGGCCACTGGTTTTTATGTGTGTGTTTTTAACCCCTACAAAACCTAGAATAAATGTGATGTTGTAGTTAGGTGCTGTGGAGGCAGCTATGACTCTTTGAGACCCTGTGCACAACAGAACAAAACACTGCCCTGTCCTGTGCCATCCTCACAATCCTTGCTATGCTTGAGGCCATTGTTGCAGCCACTGTGTCAATCCACTTTGTTGATAGTCTTCCCCTTTTTCGCTGACCCTCTACTTTATGCATGATGTCCTTCTCCAGGGAATGGTCCCTTCTGACAACATGACCAAAGTAGGTGAGATGAAGTCTGGCCATTGTCATTTCCAGGAGAATTCAGCTGCACTTCTTCTGGAACAGATTTGTTCATTTTTCTGGTAGTCCTTGGTACTTTCAGTGTTCTTCACCAACACCACAATTCAAAGGCATCAACTCTTCTTCGGTCTTCCTTATTCATTGCCCAGCTTTCATGTGCACATGAGGCGACTGAAAATACCCTGGCTTGGGTTAGGTGAACCTTAATTTTCAAAGTGATGTCTTTGTTCCTTAACAATTTAGAGAGGTCTTTTGCAGATTTGCCCAGTGCAATATGACATTTGATTTCGTGACTGCTGCTTCCTGGGTGTTGATTGTAGATCAAGTGCAACGAAATCCTTGACAGCTTGAATCTTTTCTCCATTTATTGTGATGTTGCTTATTGGTCCTATTGTGAAGATTTTTGTTTTCTTTACGTTAAGGTGTAATCCATACTGAAGACTATAATCTTCAATCTTCATCAGTAAGCAAATGAAGTCATCTCCACTTTCACCAAGCAAGATTGTGTCATCTGCATATCACAGGCTGTTAATAAGTCTTCCTCCAATCCTAATGGCACATTCTTCATATAGTCCAGCTTCTGGGATTATTTGCTCAGCATACATACACCCTTCCTGATTTTAAACCATGCAGTAAACACTTGTTCTGTTAGAACAACAGTGTCTGGTCTATGTATAGTTTCCTCATGAGCACAATTAAATGTTCTGGAATTCCCATTCTTTGCAATGTTGTCCATAATTTGTTATGATCCACACATAGTCAATAAAACACAAGTAAATATCTTGCTGGTATTCTTTGCTTTCAGCTAAGATCCATCTGACATCAACAATGATATTGCTCATTGTGAATCCAGCTTGAATTTCTGGTAGTTCCCTATCAATGTATGGTTGCAACCATTTTTTAAATTATCTTCAGCAAAATTTTACTTGTATGAGATATTAATGATATTCTGTGATAATTGCCACATTCTGTTGGACTACCTTTCTTTGGAGTAGGCACAAATATTGATCTCTTCCAGACAGCTAGATAGGTAGCTGTCTTTCAAATTTCTTGTTATAAATGAGTAAGTGCCTCCAGCGCTGCATCTGTTTCTTAATACATCTCAATGGGTATTTTGCCATTTCAGTGGGTATTCCAACAATTCAGCCTTGTTTTTTGTGAATTCCTTCAGTTCAGCTTGGACTTCTCCCTTTAATACCATTGGTTCTTAATCATATGCTACCTCCTGAAGTGGTTGAACATCAACCAATTCGTTTTGGTATAGTGACTCTGTGTATTCCTTCCATCTTCCTTTGATGCTTCCTGTATTGTTCAATATCCTTCAATATTGTGACTCGAGGCTTGAATTTTTTCTTCAGCTCTTTTAGTTTGAGAAATGTCAAGCATGTTCTTTCCTTTGGGCTTTCTAACTCCAAATAATTGCACATTTCATTATAACACTTTCCTTTGCCTTTTTGAGCTGCCCTTTGAAATCTTCTGTTCAGCTCTTTTATCTCAGCATTTCTTCCATTTGCTTTAGCTACACTCCAGTGAAGAGCAAGTTTCAGAGTCTCTTCTGACATCCATTTTGGTCTTTTCTTCCTTTCCTGTCTTTTTAATGACCTTTTGCTTTCTTTATGTATAATGTTCTTGATGTCATCCCACAATTCATTTGGTTTTCAGTCACTGGTGTTCAATGTGTCAAATCTACTCTTCAGATGGTCTCTAAATTCAGGTGGGATACAATCAAAGTCATATTTTGGCTCTCGTGGACTTGTTTTAATTTTCTTCAGCTTCAACTTGAACTTACATATGAGTATTTGATGGTCTGTTCCACAGTTAGCTCCTGGCCTTATTTTGATAATGAGCTTCTCCATTGTTTCTTTCCACAAATGTCGATCTGATTACTGTGTATAACATCTGGTGAAGTCCACTTGTATAGTTGCTGTTTATTTTCTTTAAAGCTGGTATTTGCAATGAATAAGTCATTTGTCTTGCAAAATTCTATCACATGATCTCTGGCATCATTTCTATCATCCAGGCCATATTTTCCAACTACCTGTGCTTCTTCTTTCTTTCTACCTTTTGCATTCCAATCACCAATAATAATCAATATATATTGATGACATGTTTGGTCAATTTCAGACTGCAGAAGTTGGTAAAAAAAAAAACTTCAATTTCTTCATAGTTTTCATTAGTAGGTTGTTGCATAAATTTGAAAAATAATATTAACTGGTCTTCTTTGCAGGTGTGTGGATATTATCTTATCATGACAGCACTATACTTCAGGATAGATCTTGAAATGTTCTTTATGACAATGAATAATTCATTTTCAATTTGTCATTTCCAGCATAGTAGTCCATATGATTGTCTGATTCAAATTGGTCAATACTAGTTCATTTCAGCTCACTAGTGCCTATAATATCAATATTTATGCATTCCATTTCATTTTAGACAAGTTCCAATTTTTCTGGATTTATACTTTGTACATTTCATGCTCCAATTATTAATGAATGTGAGCTCTGGTAGCATAGTGCCTAAGGTACTTGACTGCTAACCAAAAGGCTGGTGGTTCAAACCCACCAGCCACTCCTTGGAAGAAAGGTTGGGCAATCTACTTCCATAGTGATACCGCCTCAGAAACCCAAGGAGGGGTTGCTATGAGTCAGGTCTGACTCAATGGCACATAACAACAACAACAACAATGAATGTTTGCAGCTGCTTCTCCCCATTTTGAGTCATCCCCCGCCAATAAATGAAGTTCCCAAAACTTGCTCCATCTATGCTATTAAGATTGACTCTACTTTGAGGAGGCAGCTCTTTCCCAGTCTTATTTTGAATGCCTTCCAAGATGAGGGGCTCATCTTCCCATACTATATTAGACAAGGTTTCACGGCTATTCATACAGATTTCCAGTAATACATCAGACAGTGTTTCACTGCTGTATAAGATTTTCAGGGGTTAATTTTTTCAGAAGAGGATGGCCCTGTCCTTCTTCCCACTCCTTCTTAGTCTGGAAACTCTGCTAAAAGCTGTCCACCATAGGTGACCCCGCTGGAATCTGAATTACTGATGGCATAGCCTCCAGCATCACAGCAAAACACAAGCCACCACAGTACAACAAACTGGCAGATAAGTGGTGGTGCTAACCCTTTGTACCTTAAAAAGGAGCCCTGGTGGCACAATGGTTAAGTGCTTGGCTGCTAATTGAAAGGCTAGTGGTTTGAACCCACCCAGTAGCTCCATGGGAGAGAGATCTAGCAATCTGTTCTCATAAAGATTACAGCCTAGGAAACCCTATGGGGCCTTTCTATTCTATCATATGGGGTCACTATGAGTTGAAAGACAACTTGACAGCACCTAACGACAACATGTGCTTATGTGCTTTAAAATGTGAGAGCTACTTCAAAAAAAAAAAAACCATTGCTGTCAAATCAGTTCCAACTCATAGCAAGCTATAGAGCAAAGTAGAATGGCTTCATAGCGTTTCCAAGGCTGTAAATCTTTATGGAAACAGACTACCTCACCTTTCTCCTACAGAGAGGTGACCTTTTGGTTAGCAGCTGAGCTCTAAACCCCTGCACCACCAGAGCTCCTTGAGAGCTATTGTGCTAAACTAAAAGGAGACAGATGAAAAATGTACATGCAGTTGTCTGGGGGCCTAACTCTTCAGACCCCTGTAGTTAGTGGTGTTAGCTGGAACATATTTCAGTGTTTCAGCTTCCCAGCAGGTCTCTTGTCCTTCTGTCAGGCTATCTGACCTTTCCATCTTGATTCACAATTACAGATGTGGTTATTGTCCTGAGCCTTAGGAAAGGCTCTCCCATGCAGGGAGGTGTGGGGCTGAGATTTCAGCTCCCGGGTCATCTGTTCCCAGGACGCACCTCTGCTATACCTGGATCTTCCCACTGCAGGCACTGCAGGCACGCCAGCTTCCAAGATAATCTCTAGAAAATAGGTCAGTCTGTCTGCTGAGTCTTATGACAAGAGTAGATGAGGATCAACTCATCTTAAAGGAATTTTTGCTGCTCCAGGGCAACACTGTTACAAGAACAGCCTGCTCCTGAGGTTTTATACAGAACAGCCATGCAACAAAACTGTTTGCTGAGCTATTAAGGAAAAGCACTGGCTAAACTTCCTTCTGAAGTACAGTGGCTCTTTGCTGGTCATTTCAGGTCAGAATAAGGCAATTACAAAGCCAAATGTGAATATGTCTGGAAGAAATGAGGCTATGTTTTAAGGAAGTCAGGCTGAGGACAAATAAAGATTTTTAAGGAAGAAAATGGCACTTGGAACCAATCACTGCAAAGGGGTGTGACAACCTGCTGCTAAGTTTCAGAGTTAGTGAGAAATCTGTTTTTAGCACTTAGCACATCTCCTTTTACTTCTGCTTTTCCAGTGAATTCCTGGGGCCACTCCGCAGATGCCCAGGGTACCTGAACCCTTACAGTCTGCAGTTCCAGGCCCTGACAAGGGCCTCCTTCACTATAGCTCTCCCTCATTCACTAGGAAGTGAGTTCTCCTGAGGCTCAGTCCCTCCTTGCCTGGCGAGAGTGGCTGCAAATGGCTTGCTGTCATTTTCCCAATTAGCATATTTGCATTTTAATCACCAGTTGTCTCTGAGTTGATTCCAACTCAGTAGTGTTCCAGTAGAACTGTGCTTCATTGGGTTTTCATGGCCGTAACCATGCAGAAGCAGACGACCAGACCTGTCTTCTGAAGCATCTCTGGGTGGTTTTGAACCACCAACCTTTCAGTTAGTAGTCAAGCAATAACCATTTATGCCCCCCAGTGACATAATAACCAAAATAAACCCATTGCTGTCAAGCTGATTCTGACTCATAGTGACTCTATAGGACACAATAGGGTTTATAAATCTGTAAATCTCTATGGAAGCAGACTGCTTCATCTTTCCCCTGCTGAGCAGCTAGTGGGTTTGAACCACCCACCTTTTGGTTAGTAGCCAATAGCCTTAACCACTGCACCACCAGAGCTCCTTACCCAAAAAAATAAAAACAAAATCACTGCCTTCCAGTCTGATCCAACTCATAGCAACCCCTCCTTCGGTTTCTGAGGCTGTATCACTACATTAGTAGATTGCCTGATCTTCCTTCCAAGGAGTGGCTGGTGGGTTTGAACCGCCAGCCTTCTGGTTAGCAATCAAATGCCTTAGGCACTATGCCACCAGAGCTCCTAGACCTCCTTACAGAGATAATAAAACCCACTGGCATCAAATCAATTCAAACAATAGTACAGAGTAGAACTGCCCCCATAGGGTTTCCAAGACTGCAAATCTTTACAGAAGCAGACTACCTCATCTTTCTCCTGTGGCAGCTGGTGGGTTCAAATGATTGACCTTTTGGTTGGCAGCCAAATGCTTTAACCACTGTACCACTAAAGCTCCTTAAGGACATAGTAGGAGTCTTGAAAGACAAACAAAGTCTGGTCTTAATAGGCTACTACAATCAGGCCTTTTGGGTGTCTGGCAGGCAAGAAAACTTGAGACAGACAGCTCTTGTTTCGCATCCCTTTAGACCACACAGGAGTTACTGAGTGGTACAAACAGCACACTCAGCTGCTAACTGAAACGTTAGAAGCTCAAGTATACCCAGAATGAATGCCTGGAATCTACTGAAAAATCACTAAAAACCCCATGGAGCAGGGGTGGATTACCCAATAAGCAAGGTGAGCATGGGCTTACTTGTGCTTACTTATGCTTACTTATTAATCTGTAGTGAACAATTTCACATGGGCTTCACACAATGTAGTTGAAAAAAAAAAAAGGTAAGCCTGTGCTTACCTTGCTTACTGGGTACTCAGTTCTGTCAGGGACTATAAATTTGAAAAGAGGCTTTGATTCTGTAGGAAGGCGCTATGGGGTTGGGGGAGAGAGATGCTAGCCACACCTAGAAGCAGAATCTTTGACGTGGTGAAAAAGTGAAATTGTTCACTACAGATTGGTAAGTAAACACAATTAAGCCCATGCTTACCTTGCTTACTGGGTACTGTGACACTGCCTTGGAACACAATTCTACTCTGACACACATGGGGTCACCAGGAGTTGGGGTCCACTTGAACCCAAGTAGGTTTGGACCACACAGGCTGTGACTATGACAGGGACATTTTAAGGGGTCTGTTAAGCAGTGTAACAGCTTAAAAGATTCTGAACTCAAAGGTAAGGCTGCCTGTAGAGAATGATAAAGAAGCATTTTGTATTATGTTCGGTAGCACTGAAATAAATGATTGCTAATTATTGCCATTCACTTTGCTCAAGGACGACCCCTAGCTCACATTCTGCTAAAGATGCTAACACAGTGGTTCTCCTAGTGTGCCTTTTGGACCAAAGCACCAGCTGGGAACTTGAGAGAAACACAGATCTCCTGAATCAGAAACCTGGTGTGTGTGTGGGGGGGCGGCGCAGCACTTGATTCTAACAAGTGTCCAGGTGATCCTGATGCATAGTGGAGCTGGAGAACCACTGAGTTAACTGGCAGACGTTAGCTGCCTTTGAATTGTTCCCTCCTTAAGGTGCCCCCACGCAGAAAGGGATAAAATGCTGCCTGGTCCTGTGCCATGCCCATGATCAGCTTCAGATCAGACCATAGTGATCCACAAGGTTTTCATTGGCTGATTTTCAGAAGTAGATTGCCAGGCCTTTCTTCCTAGTCTGTCTTAGGCTAGAAGCTTTGCTGAAACCTGTTCAGCATCATAGCATCACACAAGCCTCCACTGATGCGATGGGTGGTGGCTGTGCATGAAGTACTCTGGCTGGGAACAGAACTCAGGTCTCTGCACAGAACTGGAGAACTCTACCACTGAACCACCACTGCCCTCAATTTAAAAAAAAAAAAAACTCACTGCCATGGAGTTGGATCCAACTCATAGTGACCCCTCCTTGGGTTTCTGAGACAGTATCTCTACGGAAATAGATTGCCCAGTCTTCCTTCCAAGGAGTGGCTGGTGGGTTTGAGCCACAAGCTTTCTGGTTAGCAGTCAAATGCCTTAGGCACTGCCCCCAGTAGATGGTCAAAAAATGGGGAAAGGGAGAGGGTTGCAAAAGTGTGTCTGCACGCACATGTGTGTGTGCATGTGTGGGTGTGTATACGTGCATGCATGTGTGAAGAGGGTGGAGAGCAAGGCAGATGAGTACTCGGATGCTGTCTATTTTCAATCATTTTCAGATCCTTTCTCTCTTGTCCTGTGACTATTCTCACACTGCCTAGCACGGTACCTTTTTGCTGGCTGGTCTTGGGGCTGAGGCTGAATTTGGAACATCATTATTGCCAGGACTGTAGTATGACATCCGGTTGCAGTTCCGATCGGCAATCTGAAATACAGAAACAACTCAACCCACTTGGCACCCCAATGGTCTGGGCATCATAATCTCAGAATTAATTCGTGATGTATTTCTCATTTTATCTGGACACAAAGATAAAACAGTTGTTATCAATAGACATAAAAATCAAAGAAGATAAAGTTGTAACTAATTCACTCCCTCCTGTGATAATCACCATTGACAGTTTAGTATGTAGCAAAAATAGAGTTAAAAACTAGTTTTTCAGATTCTGTGACTATTGAAGAGAAGAGGAAAAAAAAACTGTGAAAACAACTCCTCTTGTAAAATATGATCTATACTCAGACTCCTAAACACTGTATTGCATAAATTATAAAATAATACAGAAAATAGCTCAGAAAGTAAGGGTCATCCTCTATTCTTTTGGTTGGACAAAATTTCCATCCCCTGCTACAAAATAACTAGAAAGCTGTTAACTCAGTCCACACAGGAATTTAATATTCTTGTTTTTATTGAAGGAAATCATAAGGTCAAGGTTGCCATTGGCTGGAATTGGTGATTGGTATTGCATAAAGGAGCCTTAAATACAAGGTGGAATCAATTATGTGCTGGCAGATATTTAATAACTGGGGTGGGAGATGAATTTGTAGTGTTTGCCAGTTTTTGTGCTGTAAATAGTTCCATCAGGGCCAATTCCAAGCTACCAACATGGCATCAAGGCATGCAGAGTTGGGAAGAAACACACAGCAGCAGCACAACATTAGTTAGTATTTCCACCATATGGGTACAGTAGACAGAAACTGCCTCCAAAAGGTAGAGGTCTGTAATATGTAGAAAATAATTAGGGAAGGTTGAGGTTCAAGTATTTGTTATCTTTTTAAAATATACGTTTCATTTGGGATAAATTTAGATTCATGGAAAAACAGCAAAGGCAGCACAGAAATTCTTGAATACCCTTCACACAGTTTCCCCTAATGTCAGTATCTTACATAACTGTGGTGCGTTTGTCTAAACTGGTCCATTGCAATGAACTAAACCCCAGACTTGATTCAGATCTCACCAGCTTTCCCAAGAAAGTTTCAGGATCTAATCCAGGATCCCAGAATGCACTTAAATTACCTTATTTTGTTTTTTTTTTTCAATGATTACTGTGTTTTAAAACCAACTTTTTATTTCAAAAAATTTCAAACTCCCAGGAAAACTGCACTAGTGGTAGCATAGTGCCTAAAAGGCACTTGACTGCTAACCAGAAGGCTGGAGGTTCAAACTCACCAGACACTCCTCAGAAGGAAGATGGGGCAATCTACTTCTGTAGTGACACTGCCTTGGAAACCCAAGGAGGGGTTGCTATGAGTCAGTTCTCACTCGACGGCACATAACAACAACAACAACTAACCTAAATGTTGGCAGTTCAAACCCACCCAACAGCTCTGTGGAAGAGAGGCCTGGTGATCTGCTTGCAAAGATTACAGCCAAGAAAACCCTATGGAGCAATTCTACTCTGTAACATATGGGGTCACCATGAGTCAGAATCAATCTGACTGCAGTAAGTTTGTTCCAGTTTTTTGTTTCAAATGCACATACACATTGTATTTTTTTGAACCATTTAGAGCTGCAGATGTTATGAATGATTACCTTTGTTTTCAATATAATTTTTTTAACTGTAAATTTTGATGGTTCAATTTTTAGTAGTGTTTGTGCCCAATAAGTGGCTCAAAAACTTTCTGAAATTTAGCAAATCTCTCTCCTGAACAAGGCAACTGTAGTGTGTCACTGACTTAACAGTTGAAAATCAACAACAGTAGAATATTTGCAATTTTATTTAAAGCTGTCAATTTAAAAGATCCAATAATGTAAAAAATATCCACAGATGACTCTTCAGTCCAGCCAGGGCTCAGAACCTCAGCAAAGGTAAGGAAAATGAGGCCTCTGGTCACATGGCAGGGGGACATGGTGTTGGAGCCAAGAGCTGAACCATGGTCTAGCGATACCCTTCCTCATGCCCACTGACCCAAGAAGGAGGGCCTTTGAAAGCCAGAAATCCTGATTTATCTTAATCAGGGGAAATGACATTTCTCTGAAAGCTGGGATACCCAGAGACCAAAGTCAACGAGGAGGAAAACTAAGAAAAGTAGCTTTGGGAGTCTAATGGGGATCACTGAACTGCACCCTGTAAAAGGGTGAATTTTAGGGTATGTTAATTATATCACAGTATTTTTTTTTTTAATTCTAGCTGAGGGACAATCTACAAAATACCTGACCAGTACTCCTCAAAACTGCTGAAGTCATGAAAATCAAGGAAAGTCCGAGAAACTGTCACCCACACTCAAGACCAAGGAGATAAAACGATTAAATGGAACCTGGGATCCTGGATGAGGTCTGGGACAGAGACAGGCCATGAGGGGGAAGCTGAGGAAAGCTGAGGACGGTATGAATACTGGTAGTAACGTTTTTGGATTGCTCATTAAGTAACCAACGTAGCATTCTAACGTAGGATGTTAATAACTGGATATGAGGTGTATAGGATTCTCTGTTCTATCTTTGTAGTAATTCTGTAAATCTAAAATGGTTCTAAAATAAAAAGTTTTTCAAGAGAAAAACAAAGAATTCACAGAAGGAAAAATACATATACAGCAAGTCACCAACTCTCTCAGAATCTCAGTTTTAAATTTGTTTATAAAATTTGGCTTTTCCAAACAAGGTACAGGCATGTGAATTAAACATTTACCTCAAGTAGACACACGCCCTGGAGAGAACAATCATGGGAGGAGTAAAGGCTGCTTATACACAGGGAGACAGACAGCTCAGGTGGCAGGAGAGTATGGAGGGATGGACACTGGGAAGAGGTAACTATGGGGAGGAAGTGGGAGGGGAGCTATTGCATTGTGGTAAACTGTGGTCAATGACATGCAACAATGTATATGTGAACTGCTGTATGGAAAGTGAATTTGCTCTGTAAATCTTCACCCAAATCAAAAAAAAAAAAAAAATTGGCTTTTCTCCTTGGGATTATTATATGGGATCACCAATCTATGGATGTTAATGAATGTATAAAACATGTATCAAAAAAGAAAAAAAAAACCTTTGTAAACATCAAAAGAAGTGAAACAATTTTTTTTCCTTGAAAATAAAATTTATGATATTCATCAACACAGTGTAGCTAAACCAGCTACTCATGGCCATCAAGTCGATTCTGACTCATAGCAACCCTGTAGGACAGACTAGAACTACCCCATAGTGATTCCCAGGCTGTCATCTTTACAAGAGCAGATGGCCAGGTCTTTTCTCCTGCAAAGCCACTTGTGGGTTCAAACTGCTGACCTTTCGGTTAGCAGCCGAGCACTGAACCACTGTGCCACCAAGGTTCCCACCAGTTAACTAGATCTGAGAATATCCTCAAATGCCATTCTTGCCTCTGCAGTTTCCATTCAAAAGAAAAGAATTTTAATGCTTCTGAAGCTGGGCATGGGAGGCTTTTACCAAGGTGGCAGGCAGTCCTTCAATAAGCAGAAAGCAGCTTTCCTTAAACAAGCAGAAAGCAGCTTTCCTCTGGGAAACCTTCACTAGAGCTTGATTTTGTGTTGTTTCTCCAAGTTTTAATTAAACATAAAACATTTTCTGTGCCTTTTCAGGGTTTGACATCTCCCTACCTTTGCTGACATGATGCTCTTTACTTCCTCGTCTGCTGCAGTGTGTGTCCCCGCGAGGTCTGGGTTGCTGCTACTCATCACCCGGGCCTGTAGCAGCTTTGAGCTCACAGCAGCAGCAGCAGTGCGTCCATATGTGTGGTAGCGAGGATCAGGGACAGGAGTGGAGCCACCTGCACCTAACCAGGCAAAACATGGCAATAGACAGGGACCAGAGTCACTTACTTGGAAAGGGACTGGGTAGATGATGGCCTAGACAGGCCCTGAAGGTCTTATTATCAAATGCCTAGGGGAGTCAGGGAGGTGATGTTTCTGATGTGAGGCATTAGGGAGTGGTGAGGACTGTGGTGAACTGGAAACACATTCCGCATCCAAAGGCACCAAAAAACCCACTGCCATTGAGTTGATTCCAACTCATAGTCACCCCCATTGGGTTTCCAAGGCAGTAAATCTTTACAGAAGTAGATCTCCCTGTCTTCCTTCCACAGGTTTGAACCGCCAGCCTTCTGGTTAGCAGTCAAATGCCTTAGGCACTGTGCCACCACAGTCCTTTCATCCAAAGGCAGAAGCTATATTTTTACATAAGTAATATGCTCATTCTATTTTTTTTTTCCAACTATACCCATGGAAGTATTTTCATAAGCACACTTTACACACTGTTGTAAACAGGAAAAAAAATTAGCATAGCACGCTTATGACCCCAGGTATGCCAAGGCTTCCAGTTTTTCAAGAGAAGCTAGAAATGTGGGTATTTTTTATTTATTAATCTTTAAATGATGGCAACTTTATAATTCACACAGTAAGGTTTTCTGAGATTTGAAAACCCAAAGAATCATCTGAAATGTATGAGGATAAACATATTGTTGTTGTTGTTGTTACGTGCTGTCGAGTCATCTCTGACACATAGTGACCCCTCCTTGGGTTTCCAAGGTGGTATCTCTATGGAAATAGACTGCCCAACCTTCCTTCCGAGGAGTGACTGGTGGGTTTGAATTGCCAACTTTCTGGTTAGCAGTCAAGTGCCTTAGGCACTACACCACCAGAGATCATATAGTAATATTTTTACTTTTGAGTATTGACATGTCTTCGAGAGCAGTTATAGAAATCTGTAAGACATTACCAGTACTTAAAAAAGCCCAATGGAAATTACAGATTTACTTGAAATGAAGAAGCACAGACTAATAAAAATGCCAAGTTCTTTAGGCTAGAATTCTGTGAACTCAGTGATGTTACTTTTTGTGTCATTCTGACTAGAAGTTTTAGTTGATGGTGACTTATATAAATAGTAAAGAAGAGAGGGGAAACGGGTTATTAACTATTTCAAAGTTTAGCTTAAGGGAAATGACACTACTCACTGCCGTGGAGTTGGACCCGACTCATAGCCACCCTTTCTTGGATTTCTGAGGCAGTATCAGTATGAAGTAGATTGCCCAACCTTCCTTCCGAGGAGTGGCTGATGGGTTTGAACCAACAGCCTTCTGGTTAGCAGTCAAGTGCCTTAAGCACTAAGCCACCAGAGCTCCTAAGGGGAAAGGACAAAGGGATTGTTTTTTCACAATGAAAAGTGTAGCTATTAGTGCTATTATTTTCCTTATCATTATTATCCTAGAATTCTTGGTTTCAGTTGATACATCTCCATTTTTATAATGTTGTTGTTAGGTGCCATTGAATCAGTTCCGATTCATAGCAATCCTATGTGCAACAGAAACACTGCCCAGTCCCGTGCCATCCTCACAATCATTGCTATGTTTCAGCCCACTGTTGCAGACACTGTGTTAATTCATCTAGTCAAGGGTCTTTGTGGTGTAGTAAACTAACTGGTATGGCTTTTCTAGCCACAAGTCTTTGTAAACTCTGCAGTGGAATTTGCCCTGAGTAATTGAGTAGCTACTGATCATTAAAGTTATTCACCTGGAGTATTTCTGTTGAGAGTGGCACAAAGCAATGTTCTGGGAAGTTCACTCTCTCTCAGGTGTTTAGAATTCTAATATTCTAATATTGGTTAGTTTGGCTACTCTGCCAGGCTCAAAAGGAGGCCTCCTAGAAGCAGAAGTCTCTCTGACTGCTGGCTGAGAAAGACATGCTGCTGAGAGAAACACACTCCTGAGAAACATGTGCCGCTAAGAAAGAGACCGAGAAACATGCATTGCTGAGAGAGACACCGAGAGACACGCATTGCTGGGAGAGTGGCTGAGAGAGATGGCAGGCTGAGAGAGACTGAGTGTTTTTCCTGAACTTGAATCGTAACCTGGTGCTTCCCTAATAAACCTCATAATCTGTGTGTTCTGTGTGGCCACTGCAGTGAATTACCAAACCCGGCAGAAAGGTGGTGAGCGCTGTGGGAGGAACAGTTGGTGTCAGGGTTGGTGAAAGGGCTGGAGGTAGGCTGCATGTCTGGCCTTGCAGGAACAGGCCTTGGACTACTGATGGTGAGTCTGTCTTCCTCTTGTGGGGTTAGAGGAGGTCAGAAGATGTGATGCCCTGCCCTTTTGGCAGTTGGTGTCAGAAGCAGTGGTGGGATTCGTTGCAGTGGCTCCAGACTCATAGAAGCATGAGACTTTGTAAAAGAAAGAAGGACGGGGCCTGGGAAGTGAACTTTGAGTTCTTAGATGGCTACTTTGTTTGGTGTTACCTCTTAAAGGAGATAATTGATCCAGAGGCTAGGGCTTTTGGTTATACCCAGCCAAATGTCCAAGGCCATATGCATGGACAGTAATCAAGGTAAAGAAACAAGCCTGAAATGTCTTAAAAAGGATTGTAAGTTTTGGATTATGTGTTTACCTGAATGTACTAGGGTATTGAATGTCTCTTACCTATTCGTACATTAGATATGATTATGAGGTGTGGATAATAGAGTGTAAGTCCACCTTCAGCTGATACTTGATTGGATATGTTTAAAAGGGGAAATAGAATTTGCCTGGAAGAAACACAGGCTTTTGTTTTAAGCCCTGTTTGTAAAGAATACTAGGATCTTAGATAGAAAACCTGAGCCCCACCCAGTACTACTGAGGGAATGGAAGATTTGCATTTGAAGAAAAGACCTGAAAAGAAAAAAAAAAAAAAAAAAAAGACTGTTTGGCTCTTTGAATTTTGAGCAAGCATTTAGGCTTTGGGTGCATCAAGGCAGGAAAGTCATGGTCAATGAGAGAAACCCCTTCCAGGACTGAAAGTTAAAGGGAGCCAGTGAGCAGTAGGCTTGTATGTTGCTCGCTTGTGACCACCTGGGTCCACCTGAGTGGAAATGGGGGAAGTGCAGCAAAGAACAAAGGAGCTGAATTTGGTACTCTGACCTAGGCCATGGAGGCTAGGGATGAGAGGAAGGGCTGGCTGTTCTGAAATGCAAGGAATTGTGAGCCTGCGCATTGAAATAGTCCCTGAGGTCTGAGGGTGTGAGAAAAGGTTCTGGCTGGTCTAAAGTGAAGGGAGATTGTGACTCCCAAACTTGGCAGCTGGTACCCATGACCTAGCTGGGATGGCTAGGGCTGAGCTGACCAGAACCCGATCAAACAAAGAGGAAGGTGTTTGACACTGAGCTGGTGTTAAGTTGTTGCAATATGATGTCTTGCACTGGGCCAGACTTTGCTTGTTTATGGATCCAGATGCCTGAAGTTTCCAAGCAGAACAGAAGATTCTCCGGAGAGAAAGGACCATGCTTGCCTTCTCACAATACTGGTTTGATAGGGATGGGCAAATTAGAAATTGGCTGTCTAAAATGGGGGGAGATAAAGGCATGAAGTGGCTGGCTTACACACTTTCACGGGTGTGGTTATTCTTAAACTGATGGTGAAGGGGATGTTAATTTTTGATGCATAAAAAGGATAATGGCTAGAAAAGCCATGGGGTGGCCTACAGTGTAGTAAATTACCTGGTATGGCTTTTCTAGCCATAAGTCTTTGTAAACTCTGCAGTGGAATTTGCCCTGAGCAGTTAAGTGGCTCCTGATCATTAAAGTTATCCACCTGGGGTATTTCTGTTGAGAGTGGCACAAAGCAATGTTCTGGGAAGTTTGCTGTCTCTCAGGTGTTTAGAATTCTAAACACCATTCTGATGTTATGATTGGTTAGTTTGGCTACTCTGCCAGGCTCAAAAGGAGGCCTCCTAGAAGCAGAAGTCTCTCTGATTGCTGGCTGAGAAAGACATACTGCCGAGAGAAACGTGCTCCTGAGAAACATGTGCTGCTGAGAAAGAGACACCGAGAGACACGTATTGCTGGGCAAATGGCTGAGAGAGATGGCGGGATGAGAGAGACTGAGTGTTTTTCCTGAACTTGAATTGTGCTTCCCTAATAAACCCCATAATCTTTGAGTTCTGTGTGGCCGCTGCAGTGAATTACCAAACCCGGCAGAAAGGTGGTGAGTGCTGTGGGAGGAACAGTTGGTGTCAGGGTTGGTGAAAGGGCTGGAGGTAGGCAGCATGTCTGGCCTTGCAGGAATAGGCCTTGGGCTACTGATGGTGAATCTGTCTTCCTCTTGTGGGGTTAGAGGAGGTCAGAAGATGTGGCCTCCCTGCCCTTTTGGCAGTCTTCCTTTTTTTCATTGACCCTCTACTTTACCAAGCATAATGTCCTTCTCCAGGGACTGGTCCCTCCTTATAACAGTCCAAAGTACATAAGGCAAAGTCTCACCATCTGGCTGGGCATCTTCTAAGACAGATGTGTTCATTCTCCTGGCAATCCATGGAATATTCAATATTCTTTGCCAATGCCATAATTCAAAGGCATCAATTCTTCTTTAGTCTTCCATATTCATTGTCCAGCTTTTGCATGCATATGAGGCAACAAAAAATACCATGGCTTGGGTCAGGCATACCTTCAGTCTTCAGAGTGACACCCTTGCATTTTAATAATTTAAAGAAGTCTTCTGCAGAAAATTTGCTCAATGCAATATCTTTCACAATCTAAAAACTGCCATCAAGTTGATTTCAACGCACAGTGATCCTATACAACAGAATGCCTCAGAAACCCAAGGAGGGGTCGCTGTGAGTTAGATCTCACTTGACGGCAGTGAGTTCGGTTTTTGATTTTGTTATAGGGTTTCCAAGGCTGTAAATCTTTACAGAAGCAGACTGCCTCATCTTTCTTCCATGGAGTGGCTAGTGGGTTCAAACTGCCAACCTTTTGGTCAGCAGCCAAATGCCTTAACCACTGTACCACGAGAGCTCCTTCTTTTATAATAGGGATCCTCAAATGAACCATAAACTAACAACTGGGCAAAGACCAGTAAAGGACTCTCAAGTGGGAAAAGTAAATGCTTAAAGCATGAAAACAGGGGAAGAAGAAAGTGAGAGAGAATACAATCTAGAAAGCAGCTTTTACTTTCGGCATCTGTGTAAGTTTTGTGTTATTCTGAAAAATGAAATTTAACTTGAGGGATTTTTGTTTTATTTTGAAGTGTATGCAAAGGTGGGGAGTGGAGCACCCTTCCCTCCAGACTCTCTCCCCCAGCAACTCTACCTGACTTGGGCAAGTCCCTGTGCAGCTCCGGCAGGCGGAAGACATAGTGCACATAGGAAGCGAGCAGGCAGTTCCGCCCATGCTGGTCCTTGCTCAGGTCCTTACTGTTGTGGAGACTGTTGGCGATGGCCACCACAGACTCAAAGGCAAACTGGGAGAAGTTGGCTGAGGAACCAAGAGAAAAATGGTGGCCCCATCAAAAAACAAAAACAAAACAATGGCCGTCAAGTTGATTATGATGCATGGCTACCCCTTGGGTGTGAGAGTAAAACCATGTTCCATGGGGTTTCAGTGACTGATGTTTTTAACGTAGATTGCCAGGCTTTCTTCTTGAGTGCCTCTGAGTGGACTTGAACCTCCAACCTTTCTGTTAGCAGCCAAACATGTTAACTACTTGCACTCACCAGGGACTCCAGCCTACAACATAGGACATCTTACCTCTGGCATCACAAAGATGCATCCCAGGATGCAATGCCCACTGGCAGAAGAAGTAATACTCCTCTCCAGGGCTGAAACTCCCACATGTGTCTGAGCCCACATGGTCAGCCTCAGAGCCCCCACACGCATTCACACCATACATGCTACACAGTCAACCTCAGATCCCCCACACATACTCACATCATGCCCATGACAGAGCACCCCCTGCACACTCACACCACAAACCAGCCTCAGAATCAGAGCTGTCCACATGTACTCCATCATGCAGTCAGCCTCAGAGACCCCACATGCACTCACACCACACAGTCAGCATCAGACTTCCCCAACATACACTCATACCACATGGTCAGCCTCAGAGACCCCACATGCACTCACACTGTGCAATCAACCCTCAGAGTACCCCCACATACTCACACCATACAACCAGCCTCAGTGTCAGAGTGCCTCATATGCAGTCAGCCTCAGAGCCCCCATGTGTACTCACACCACGTGGTCAGCCTCAGAGCCCCCACATGCACTCACACCATGTAGCCAAACATCAGAGCACCCCCCCATACACTCATACCATACAACCAGCCTCATAGTGCCCCATGTGTACTCCATGACATGGTCAGCCTCAGAGCCCCACTCCTATACTCATATCACGTAACCACACACACTCACATGCACTCACACCACATGGTCAACCTCAGGGCTACCACATGCACTCATATCACACGCTTACAGCACATGGACAACCTCAGAGTCCCCACATGTACTCACATCACACAATCAGCCTTGGAGCCCCCCCCACACACACACACACACCCTCATATCCATGGAGACCTTAGATGGTACAGTTAACATGCTTGGCTGCTAACCAAAAGGTTGGAGGTTGGAGTCCACCCAGTATGTCTTGCAAGAAAGGCCTGGTGATTATACTATAAGACAAAAAGTAGATTAGTGTCTGCCAGGGCTGAGTAGGGATTAATAGACAGTGACTGCTAATGGGAATGGGCTTTCTTCTTTGTAGAAATGAAAATGTTCTGGAATTAGCTCCATTTTTTTGGAATTCCCTAGATATTTAAAATTTTAATGAACCATTAAAATAGAGTTCTTAAAATTATAGTATTTTTAAAATAAACTTTATTGAATGATTAGAGACAGTCATTCAAATTTCATTCTTAGCAACTTATGTATTTATTTTCCTTCTAAGATATTTTGATTTTCTTGACCAACAAGGAAATACAATATTTTATATTGTGATGGTTGTACAATCTTGTGAGTTTACTAGAACCCACTTAACTGTACACATTAAAATACTGAATTTTATGGCACATGAATTACATCTCAGTGAAAAAAAAGTGGGAGAATCACACTGAACTTCAATTAAGAGAGCTGTTTTCTCTCCATTGAACATGGTTTGTCGCACCCTTTAAAAATGTTCTAATTCTTTGTTGCTCAAGAAAACAACAATCTTTTAGAGGTAAAATAAATCTATAAGTTACCAGGAATGGAATTTGAAAGACTGCCTCTAATCATTCAATAAAGTTTATTTTAAAAAATACTGTCATCTTACCACCAGCTGCTGTTGGGTTGACTCTGACTCCTGGTGACCCCATGTCAGAGTAGAACAGCTTTCCACATGGTTTTCAGTGACTCATCTTTCACAAGTAGATGGCCAGGCCTTTCTTCCAAGGTGTCCCTGGATAAACTTGAACCTCTAACCTTGTGGTCAGCAGCTGAGCGCATGAATCATTTGCACCACCGAGGGACTCCATTATAATCTTAAGAACTCTACTTTAATGCTTGGTTCTTTGTTCACTCATTCATTCCTTTGTTCATTCATTATTTTTTAATACCCAGGGAGTCATAAAACAACAGAGCTGGCCCTGGTGCCCCTGGAACCCACTTCACTAGTGGAAAGGATGACAGCATTGTCCTGGCTCCCTGGGTTGCTGGGAAATCCTGCTTAGGAGACAAAGCAAGGCTTCCCTCCAGCCAAAGCCCGGGCTGTGGTGCCCACCTGTCTGGCCGGCGATGACCATGGACTGCACAGACAGCTGGAAGAGCTTGTCGAGCACCAGGTGCAGGAAGAGCACCAGAGGCTCCAGGCGGGAGGAATTGAGGCAGATGATGCTGAGCTTCAGCTCGTGCTCCAGCGCACCCTCACTGATCTTCTGGTCCAGCACGCGGAGCGGGAAGGTCACCTGGCTCTCCAGGGAGTGGCAGAGGGTGAAGAACTTCTCCAGGTGGTTGTCCTAGGGAGGCAGAGGCAGACGTGGGTCCCGTCCCATCTATGTACCCCAGTGATTCACAAGCAGACTCACACAGCTCTTTAGAGGCAGAACTTCTTAACCAGCACTTCTGCCCAGAAGTTCTAAGACAAGACCCAGGTCATGACCCATGTTGTGCACAGACTATGACCTCTCCACAACTGTGGACTGAAGACAGAAGCATTCGGCTCTGACCTGATCTTCAAGCAGAGGCCAGAACAGCAGATAAACACACTGTCCAGAAGGGGGTCAAGAACTGCCATAGGATGTCACTGAACTGTATGTGTAGAAAGTGATGACTGGCTGCATGCATGGGTTTATACAGTTTCACCAAAAATACAGTTAATATTTAAAAGCAAGCATACAAAAAACTGCCATATGACCTAGCAATCCCAGCCTTAAGGAGATAACCAAAGACTTGAATGCAGGGATGGAAACTGACACTTGTACATCAATGTTCATTGCAGGACTATGCACAACAGCCAAAAGGTGGTGACAACAGAAGTGTCCATCAACAGAGGAACGGATAAACACAACGTAGAAGGGAATATTACTCAGCCATAAAGAGAACTGAAGTTCTGATGCATGCTACAGCATGGATGAGTCTCGACAACATGATGCTGAGTGAAATAATCAATCACAAAAAGATAAAATATTGTGATTCCATCTCTATGAAATATCTAGAACGTGGCAAATGCATAATGACAAATGTTTATTAGTGGTTACTAGGGGTGGGAAGGAGGGGCAAAGGGGGCTCACTGCCCAGGGGGCGCTGAGCTTCGGTGGAGGGTAATGGAAAAATCTGGAAATGAACTGGGGTGACAGTCACACAACATGGTGGATGAATGTAATTATTATCACTGAATTGTACATGTAAAAAATGTTGAGGTATACACATTTTTACCACAGTAAAAAAATAAAATAAAGGGGAAAGTCTAAGCAGATGCAAAACTCAGTGGCAGGAAAAGGAGGGAATGTGGAACTAAAATAAAGGAAAAAGGCTGGTAAATGGCACAATTATAAAGGACAAGGAGGCAGCAGCAGCAGCAAATTTTTTAGATGTCATCTTCCCACAAAATACCTCAACCCACAGTGTAACCACTGTCTCTGTTCACTCAGGGGCTCGACATCTTTGTCAGGTCTTTCTATTTAAGCAACAAATGAAAGCTGACCAAGCTTGTAAGTCCCCACTAAGAACTAAAGGTTCTTTTTGTTTTTCTAAATCCATGTACAAGGATTTTCATCAGCCTTTCTTAGCCTGTCCGTGGAAGTTCACCCTGCTGCCTCCCCCATCTTCATTACCAGCTTTCTGGGCCTGATTAGAAGTTAACCCTGAACTTCATTACCTGAGTATGCACAGAGGAAACAGCTTGTACTTCAATATTAAACACTCCCTTATGTCCTTCAGCCCACTTAATGGGAGGATTCTGTAAAGGCACTTTCTGTGTTAAAGAAAAACAAACAACAAGAAAAAGATTAGTCATTCAATCTCCTTTTCCGACTACTAATAAGCAGAGTGAAGCCATGTGGCTGTAAATGTCCAGGCTACACAGATATAAACCAATCAGTCAGCTTTGACTCCTAAGGACCCCATGTGGGTCGGACAGGACTATGCTCCACAGGGTTTTCATCAGCTGATCTTTCAGAAGCAGATCTCCAGGGCTTTTCTTTTGAGGTGCCTGTGGGTGGCCTTGAACCTCTGACCTCTGGGTCAGCAGCTGAGCATGCTCATTGTTCATACCACCCAGGAATGCATTAGAAACACAAGCCCTCAGCTCCCACCTAAAACACAGACCTTGGAGTCAGGAGCTCTGGGTTCAAGTTCAATTCTGCACTGAACTAGTTCTTTTTACTTTGGCAAGTCAATTAAAATGTTCCAGTGCATGATGATCCCATGGACAAGAAGATGAAATACTGCCTGGTTCTGCACTATCCCCATGATTGGCTGCAGATTTAACCATTGCTAACCACAGGGTTTTTATTGGCTAATTTTTGGAAGTAGATCACCAGGCCTTTCTTCCTAGTCCATCTTACTCTGGAAGCTCCGTAGAAACCTCTTCAGCCTCCTGGCAACACCCAAGCCTCCAATAATAGGTGGTGACTGCACATGAAGTGAACTGAATGACCAGGCCCCCTGCATGGAAGGCAAGCATTCTACCACTGACCCACCACTGCCCACGTAGAGACCATTTATTGCTTTCAATTCCCATCAGAACTGTCTTCCTCCAGAGCCACATGCAGTGCTGAGTGAGCGGGGCCTTAGCTGATGAGGCCATACCACATGAGTGGGGGTTTTGTGTCCATTTTCCTTTTAACCAAGACAACCAGACTGTACCTCTAAGAGTCAGTGTGTGCATGCAGCAGGGACCCTGAGAACCACCTCAGGCAAAGAAAGTGACAACCTGGGGGCCACTGGCTGGATCCATCCCATAGAGTGTTGGAAACTTTTTTGAATTTGTTCCCAATATTTACAAGGCAGGAAGTTTCATATAAAAAATGGCATCCCAGCCTGGCACCAATCTGCAGAGTGGAGAAGCAGCTGTGGCCTCTGAAGGAGCAGATTGTCTCCAGTGGGAAAAAAGTCCATCAGGACTGCACTCAGGTTACTTGCCTGGCTCCTGGGGACACCTGAGTTTTCATGATCTAATGTGGTGTCATACACTAGATATATAATGTGAGCCATTTATGCAAGCTAAAATTTTCTAGTGGCCACATTAGAAAAAGTGAAAAGGAACAGGTGAGAATAAGAGCTCAGGTGGTGCAATTATGAGAGAATAGAAGGGCTGTGTATGCACAGAGATACAGCTCAGGGGGCAGGAGTACATGGGAGGGAAGGACACAGGGAAGAGTTAACTATGGGGAGGAAGTGGGAAGAGAGCTGTTGCATTGTGAGAAATTGCAGTCAATGTCATAAGACAGTGTATGTGAACTGCTGTATGGAAAATGAATTTGCTCTGTAAACTTTCACCAAATCACAATAAAAATTTATTAAAAAAAAAAAAAAAAAGAAACTCAGTCATGGTCACACAGTTACTGAGTGGCATTAAGAAAGTAACTGAGTGTTCTAGGAAATGAGAATGAGGGCATTGGTGGGTCAGTTATAGAATTCCTATCTTCCATGTGGGTTGAATTCACAGCCAGTGCATCTCATTGCAGCTACCACTTGTCTATCCATGGAGTCTTGTGTTACTATGATTCTGAACAGGTTTCAGCAGAGCTTCCAGACTATTACAGACTAGGAAGAAAGGGCTGGCAATCTGTTTCCAAAAATCAGCCAATGAAAACCCATGGATCACAACAGAACATTGTCTGATGTAATACTGGAAAATGAGATCCAGGTGGAAGGCACTCAAAATACACAGTGGCTGCAACAATGGAACTGAGCACACCAACGATCATGAAGACGGCTCGGGACCAGGAAACGTTTCATTCTGTTGTCACCATGAGTCAGAGCCCACTCAACGGCAACTAACAACAAATGAATGGGGCATCACAACCAGGTATTTCTCCTGTCCTATTATATTACTGCCTCGGAAACCCAAGGAGGGGTCGCTATGAGTCAGGGCCGACTCGATGGCAAATAACAACAACAACAACAACATTACACCAACAAAGGAGCTCTGGTGGCATAGTGGATATGGCTGCTAAGCAGCAGGTCAGTGGTTCAAGCCCACCAGCTGCTCCACAGAAGGAAGATAGGGCAATCTACTTCCATAAAGATTTACAGCCTCAGAAACCCACTGGGGGTCGCTATGAGTTGGAGTCAACTTGATGGAAGTGAGTTTGTTTTTTTGGTTTATCAGACCAATGAGCATGTCCTGTGTGGTGCAAATGGTTTGCACTTGACTAGTAACCTAAAGGTTGGTGGTTGGAACCCACACAGCAACAATCAGCAGACAGGCCTGGCAATCCGTTTCTGAAAAATCAGTCACTGGAAACCTTCTGGAGCAATTATACTCTGTAACACTTGGGGTCCCTGTGAACTGGAAGCAACTCAACAGCAACGGGTTTGGTTTGATTTTTATCAGTCCACTGTGTTTTCAGAAAACACTGTTTGCTGCCTGATACCCAAAAACCCACTACCCTCAAGTGGATCCCAAATCACAGCAACCTGAAAGAACAGAGTAGAACTGCCCCATAGCAGTTAAAAGGCTGTCAGTCTTTACAGAAGGAAAGCCCAAACCAAACCCACCGCCAACAATTTCAACTCACAGCGCCCCTAGATGACAGAGTAGAACTGCTCCCTAAGGTTTCCAAGATGGAAATCTTTACAGAAGCAGACTGCCTCAACTTTCTCCTGCAGAGTGCCTGGTGGGTTTGAACTGCTGACCTTTTGGTTAGCAGATGAATGCTTTAACCACTGCTCCACCAGAGCTGAGAGATAGCTACTGCAAAAACAAGATGAACCTCCTGTGTCATGCTTAAGGTAAGGATGCACAGTCTGGTAAGGTGGTCAAGACTGTGGCTGTTCAGGGAACAGTGGATGGCTAGCTTGCTGGTTACCTCGGCAGAATGCATGGAGTAATTGGGAGGTAGCTTCTCCAAGGCAACTGGGAGACAGTAGGATCCCGTCTGAAGACGCTCATTTAAGAGAATCGGCAGCCACTAAGAGAAGATGCAAAGAAGAAAGCAGCGTTATGACAGCATACACCTCCAGCAACTAGCTCACAGTGATCAACTGCAAGTAAACGGTGAGTAGCTATTGACCAGGACTCTTTGGGGCCGACATTCCCGTCAGGTTCTCTGCATTCTAATTTCCCCCACACTCCTGAGTGGGAGCTTGCAGAGCGAAAGCAGCACATTTTTCATGAGGGTCAATGTTTGTGTGTGTCTGAACACCAGTAACATTTATTCTTCCTTTCCTATATTTTGAAAGAAATAACTTTTGTTTTCCCCATTGGGGACGAAAGTTGGGTTGATAGATAAAGTATGCATATTCAACTTGGAAAGGATGGACCTTGTGCACTTTTGCTGTAAATGAGTATTCTTTCAACAGCCATCATATACTAGCTTGCCATTCCTGATGCCATTCATTTGCCAAGTCAAGCCTTACCTGCTCTTTGTGATAATGTGATTTAGCACAGACTACTTCTGATAGGAAGAAAGCAAGGGGAGAGAATGTGGTTGTTTAACTCTGCAGGGGGCTGGAGTGCCAACAACCACAGGGTGGGTGGTCAAGGAAAACTCACAGAATAGCCCAGAAGGCTTTCCACCGAAGTGCCCTGCTTCTGCTGACAGCTGATGTGGTAGAAGGTGAAGAGGAGATGGTGATGTGCTGTGAGCTTCGCCGGAAGCTTAATTTTCACTTCTTCATAAAAGTCAGGAGACCTGTTTCAAAAGCACATTGGACGCAATCACTTTCAGTGGAACAAGGACTTCCCTGGCTGCAACCTGTGACACCAGCACCCTCTGCGCTCAGGGTTCGCCTGCCTGATGTTTTGGCTATTCGTTTTCCATCATTCGGCTCCTAGGCTGGAAGCCCTTGAGGGCAAGCTTACAGTACTGGATATGCTCCACTTACAGAGAATGCAAGGCAAGTCTTGAACAGAAAAACAGCCCGGACATTGTGGAAAACCCAACAACTTCATTTGAAAATGGACTGAGGTCCAGACTCCTGCCGTAACCTCCTCTCCGTCTCTACCCTGAGCATGTGCACATTCATCAAACAATTTCCTTGTTTTTGTATTTTAAAATTTTTATTTTATTTTTTTAACTTTACATTGTGATTTGGGTGAACGTTTACAGAGCAAATTGCTTTCCCTTTTACAATTCATACACATTTTGTTTCATGACCTTGATTGCAGTCCCCACGATGTAACAGCTCTTTTCCCACTTCCTCTTTTTAAATTTTTCATGTGATGAAATATAGATACCAAAACATTTGCTATTTCAGCCATTTTTATGTGCACAATTCAGTAACATTCACATGTTGTGCAACCATCACCGTGCTCTGTCTCCTGGTTATTTTGTCACCTTTCACAGAAGCTCAGGAGTCCCTGGGCGGTGCACATGGTTGATGCGCTCGGCTGATCACCAAAAGGTTGGGGGTTCAAGTCTACATAGAGGTACTCCAGAAGAAAGCCCAGGCAGTCTATTTCCAAAGAATCAGCCACTGAAAACCTGACGGAGACAATCCTACTCTGACACACAGGGTCACCAAGAGTCGGAGTCAACTCCACGGCACCTGGTGACAAAAACTCTGTACCCTTTAAGCAATACCTGCACATTCCCCCTCTCTCATCCTGGTGGCCACTAGGAAACTTTGTCTCTCAGGATGTGCCTATTCTAGATATCTCACATGAGAGGGATTACACAATATTAGTGCTGCTGTGAAAGGATTTTGAAAAAAATTAATGAGTGATGCAGGGAGGAAAAGCATGTGAATTTACAAATGCACCTCACTTTATTGTTCTTTACTTTATTGTGCTCTGCAGATACTGTGTTTTTTACAAACTGAAGGTTTGTGCCATTTTCCCAACAGTCTTTGCTCATTTTGTGTCTCTGTTATATTCTGGTCATTCTCACAGTACTTCAAACTTTTTCCTTATGCTATGCACACTCAATAGACTATAGTAAAGCATCAACAGAACTTTTATATGCACTAAAACCAAACTCACTGCCATCGAGTTGATTTGACTCATAGCGACCCCTCTTTGGGTTTCAGAGGTGGTATCTCTACGGTAGTAGATTGCCCAACCCTCCGTCCAAGTTGTGACTGGTGGATTTGAACCACCAGCCTTCTGGTTAGCAGTCAAATGCCTTAGGCACTATGCCACCAGAGCTAGGAAGTCAAAAAAACACAGGTGACTGGCTTTATTGCAATATTCACTTTATTTCAGTGGTCTGGAACCAAACCCTCAATATCTCTGAGGTCTGCCTGTACTGAATTACTAAGTACCAGAGACTCTACTCAGGGTTGGATGTACATTCCTCATTTAGCCCTAATCCTAAGCCTGGAAAGTAGGTTGAGAGAAAAACTTAGATGGGCCAAGGTTATCAGGCCAGGATGAAACCCAAACTCATCTAGAAGATGAAGAGACAGTGCGAGGAGAGCTAGGTTCTGTTCCTGGCCCCCTCCAGTATCTCAAAGTGAGGGAGGAATGTTATTTACTTATTGAACACCTTTAACTTCTCTGCATCATACTAGAAGGTTCTAACTAACCTAACTCACTGCCATCGACTTGGATCAAAGTCACAGCGACACCTCCTTGGGTTTCTGAGGTGGTATCACTATGGAAGTAGATTGCCCAACCTTCCTTCTGAGGAGTGGCTGGTGGGTTTGAACTGCCAGTCTTCTGGTTAGCAGTCAAATGCCTTAGGCACTATGCCACCAGAGCTCCCAGAAGGTTCTAGAAAAGTCAAAATAATATTAGGTTCTTAAAGATTTGTTCTCCTCTAAATCTCAGTTACATTGTGCATCTGCAATACAGAATCATGGAACTAGCACAGATTTCCTCTCTCCCTTAGCCCTGAAATGATAATATCTGTTGGGAGCAACTGCCCAGAGAATTCAGAAAAGGCAGGAGATAATGAAATAACCTTGGCACACATTTAGAGCTCTAAAATGTACTTACTTATTATGGTACGTGATGGCTGTGTACACTTCCTGCAAAAATTCAGGCCCATTGGACTTTCCAAAGATGACCTGTCACCAAAAAGTAAGGACCGAATTAACAGTTACATTTGGGTCTGTCAAATCCTCTGGCATCAGCCCAACTATGATGTTCTGGTCTCAGAGAGTTGTAATTTGTACTTGTAAATCAAAGAGTGCTGGGTTTTGCAACTGGCCCAACCACACCGGTGCAGAAGAAACGGCTATGAAGGGCAACCTGAGACACCAAAGACCTAAAATAGTGACCAAGGGCCCTCTCTTCTTCCTAGTCTGTCTCAGTCTATAAACTGGGCTGTTACCTATGCACCAGGTGCATTTCGCTGGGTTTTAAACACCAGGGGCTCATCCTCAAAACTCACGTCTACATGTCACCACAGTAGGACAAACCAACAGACAAGTTTGTCCTGCTGTTGGAGACCTCCAAACAGTGTTTCTTTGCTATTCATAAGGTTTTCCCTGGCCAATTCTTTCAGAAGTTTATAGACTGAGACAGACTAGGAAGAAGGAAGAGGCCGTCCACTTCTGAAAGAATTGGCCAGGGAAAACCTTATGAATAGCAAAAAAACACTGTTTGGTACATTACTGCACAACTTTAGGAATAGTCCGTTTAGGCTAAAAGGCTCGCAAAATAGGACTGGGAAAGAGCTGCAACATCTGAGTAAACCCAGCCTTAC